GGCTGAGCTGGCCACACACACACCTCTCTCTCTCTCTCTCTCTCTCTCTCTCTCTCTCTCTCTCTCTCTCTCTCTCTCAAATAAATAAAAATAAATAAATAAATAAAATTTAAAAAAAATAAAAAATAAATAAAAAAATATTTGCAGATTGTATTTACAATAAACTTCCAAATTTTAATTCAATATACATTCTGAAGCCTGGTACCAAGGTGGGAAAGGCATTAGTCTGACAGCTGTAAGCAGCGGGGTTGGGGTGGGGCACACCTGTCACCCCAGCACTAGGGGAGGCTGAGGCAGGAGGATCACAAGTTCAGGCCCATCCCTGGTGGCTTAATGACCCTATCCTAATAAATGGGGTGGAGAGGCGGCTGGGCCCAGCTCCTGCGTTTCGGCCCACTCCCTGCAGCCAGTAGTGTATCTTGTGCCCCCACCCCCGCGCCCTCCCGCTGCAGGGCCTCGAGCCTCCATCCAGCTGCGTGGCCACCTGACACTGAGGGATTGGAGGGCAGGGAAGTAGCTCAGCCCCGTGTTAGGGGGCGTTCACTGCTGCAGCCTGGCGGGGGACCGAGGCGAGGAGGCAAAAGCTGCCTCAGAACCTGCCCAGGGATGCCAGGAGCTGGGCTGGGCTGGGCTGGGGGGGGGCGCTTACCTGATGGACCACACTTTGGTTTGTGGGTAATTTTAAATTTTACTTTATTTTATTTGCAGTAATAGAAAAGACCTAGGACCTTCACACTGAGCTCCAGCCCCCTTCCCTTTTTGAGACAGGATCTCACTATGCAGCTGATGCTGGCCTTGAACTCACTTTGTAGCCCAGGTAGACCTCCAACTCCTGGCATTCATCCTGCCTCAGCCTCCCAAGTTCTGGGATTATAGGCGTGTACCACCACCACTGCCGGCATCCTCAGCCCCTTGTTCCTCTTTTTCATTTTTATGGAGATAGGGTTTCCACTCAGTCACTAAATTTGCCAGGCTAGACTCTTGTGATCTCCTCAGCCTCCCAGAGGGCTGGGACTATGGGTACACTGTCTAGTACTTGGCTTAGTTCTGTCTTACTGATTTTTTATTTTAAGATTTATTTATTTGATACAGGATCTCACTATGTAGCTCAGACTCAGTGATCCTCCTGTCTCAGCCTCCCCAGAGCTGGGGTGACCGCTACCGTGCCGTTTCAGTAGCCTGCACAGCACGGGGCGGGCAGTGCATGTGGTACTGGGGATCAAACCGGGGACCTTCTGTTTGCCAGGCATGTGTTTAGACTGCAGAGCTATCTCCCCAGCCCCAATTATTGTTTTTATTGTTACATAAGTATCACATTATTTTAAAAAATTACAAAATTCAGCTCACTAAAAGATGGTTTTATACCACTTGAATGAATATATAATAATGCAGAAAAGCTCATTGACGCATAAAAAAAAAACCTTTTTTTTTTGGTACCAGGGATAGAAATCAGGACTCACACGTGCCAAGCAGGCACTTACGCCACTGAGCCATCTCCCTGACCCTAAGAAAACTTTCAAAAATTGAACAACTCCCAAAATAAAAGTTATCAGTAATTGCCCAGTTCCCCCAAAAGAACATTTGGCATCATTAGTCCTGCCTCAAAAAGCATGTATACTTTTTTTTTTTTTTTTGGTGGAACCAGGGATTGAACTCAGGCCTTTGTGCTTGCCAGGGAAGCGCTTATTCCACTGAGCCATCTCCCTGGCCCAGCATGCATACATTTACTCAGCTCCAAACACACAAAAGTATGAAGGAGAGGAAAGTTGGCACTCCCCAATTCAGATACCTTTGTTCTTATTTAAAGGCAGTCCACGCTGTGCAGCGGTGCACACCTGTGTTCCCAGCTCCTTGGGAGGCTGAGCCGGCTCTCAAGGGTGGGCCCCACCTGGGACTTCATGAGCCTGGCCTCAAAAATGAAAACCCAAGTGGGGAGATAGCTCAGTGACGTAAGCACCTGCCTGGCAAGCACAAGGTCCTGAGTTTGATCCTCGGTAAGAGAGGGGGGGAGGGGGAGGGAGGGGAAGGGGGACAGGGGAGAGGAGAGAGGAGGAAAAGAAAACCCAGGCTAGGGAGGTAGCTCAGTGGTCTAAGCACCTGCCTGGCAAACACAAGAACCCAGGTTCGATCCCTGCATGCTGTGCTGGCCCCTTTCTGGCCAATCCAAAACCAGGCATATGGCACACCCCTGTAATACCAGCACTGGGGAGGCTGAGACAGGAGGATCACTACGAGTCTGAGCCATGTAGGCAGACCCTGTAACAAATACATAAATTAAAAAGAAAAAATCTAAAGTACTGGGTGTGGCTTGGGTAGCACAGGCCTAGCATGCACAAAGGCCTGGGTTCGTCCCCTGCTCACACATAGAAGATGTATAAAATGTGTCTTAGAAGTGAAAACTAGGGGCCGAGGAGATGACAAGATGAGAGGGATATAGCTCAGTCAAATAAGCGCTTGCACAAGGGCCTGAGTGTGGCCTGAGTTCAATCCCGGGTTCCAGAAGAAAAAAAAATTAGATATAGATATAGATATAGATATAGATATAGATATAGATATAGATATAAACTACCCGGATGTGTAGGACCCTGAACTGCATGAGTCCAGCACCTGTGGCCCATGTCGTTGGTCCCCCTGCACCTCCCTGCCTGTATGGGCTCTGCTGGAGCCTCAGCCCATTTCCTTCTAAGGCCTGTCCCTGCAGGGAGGGACCGTCCTGAGAGCACAGCTGTGCTGAGGTAAGCTGCCCCAGTGACAGTGACTTCCCTCCCTGAGGGATCCACATTGCTTGGTCCAGCCTTTGCCCTACACAAGGTGGAGGCAAGCAGCAGGGCAGGCAATGGCAGAGGGACTGCACAAGCTTCTCTCAGCTGCCGAGGAGGGGACCAGGGACAGCCGACGGCTGCTTGGCCGCACACTGCTTGGAAGGAACTTGCTGCTCACTGAGGTTTTGTTGGGTTTTTTTTGTACAAAGAATTCATGACTTGCACTTGCCGGGACCACTGAGTTTTGAACCCACCCCTTCGTTTTTCAAGACTGGGTCTCTTAAGTCACTTAAGTTCCCCAGGCTGGGCTAGCGTTTGCAGGCAGCCTGGGCCACATAGTGAGACCCTGTCTCATGACAAAGCCCCTGGCCCCTGGATGTGCAGTCTCTGTGGGTCTTACCATGGTCCCAGCCCCACACACGACCACCCCTACACATGAAAGCTTCCTGAGCCAGCCCACGGGCCCCAGGATCTCCACATGGAGCGAGTTTGCCTGTGAGAGGCCAGCGGGTCCCCCACAAGCGGCAGGCCTTGCCTCCAGGCCCTGGGGACTCTGCTGTTCGGCAGGGGCAGCAGGCCACCTCAGAGTGGCTGCAGCCTGAGCCCAGCCTGCTGGCCGCATCTCCTGGTGTGTGCACTGTCCTAGGCACCTTGGAGGAGGAGCAGTCATCACTTAGGGGTGGACCCAGGCCCAGAGTCACAGGCAGGACAAAACGGGGCCTGAGAAGAGGCTCCCGGCCTGCAGGGGCAGGCCGGGCATACTGCCCTCCAGAGAGCCGCATATGTGGTTCTCAACCAGGCCCCAGAGCCACTCCCCTGCCCCTGGCCAGCATGGTGCCACCCACATGGGCTGCCACATCAGGGCGGCGAAGGCCTGCTGAAGAGCAACAGGCAAACGCTGAGAACGTGCTGTCTGAATTATTTTATCCCGGGCTGGAGCTGAGGAGAGAGGGTGGCTCCATCTTTAACAGCTGCCAGTGTGAGACCCACTTCCCCCATGCTCGGCCCCATCCCAGCACTCAGCTTTGTCCTGCTGCCTCCTGCCATAGGGGGACAATGAGGCACCCTCAGCCAGGGAGACACCTGGGGACCCGTTCCATGCCACGGGGTCTTGGTGCTGAGTCCTGAGGAGGGCATGCGGGAGGCCACAGAAACATGGGCCTGGGGTGCCCAGCAGCAGCGACCGGGGCAACAGTCACAGCCTGGTCCCCTCCACACTCCAGAGCTGCCGTCTCTGCTCAGAGCTCCAGCCTGCAACCTCCTGGGGCCCTGCTTCGATAGGTCCAGCCACAGCCCAGGCTCAGAGCCCGGAAGGGGCTGCATGTGCAGATGAGGGACAGATAGCACAGAGCCCGAGCCCGAGCTGCCCCTTCCTGCACACAGGCTGCGGCAGCCTCAGAGCTGCCTGGGGCGACCCCAGGATCTGAGGCCAGAGACAGACTACTGCCCTGAGTTGTCACTGAGCCAATATGGTGTCGGGTGTAGCATGCTTGAAGGCAGGAGAGCCTCCTCCGGTCACTGCTTGCTTGCCTCTCCTGGTACTAGAGGTTGGAGCCAGGGTTCTTGCAGAGTGTCATTCCAAGCCTTCGGGACAAGGTCTTGCTAGGGGTCCTGCCTCAGCCTCCCAGACTGCTGGGGTGGCCGTTGTGTGCCACTACGCCTGGCTGCTCTTTCTGGCTTTCTCTCTTCCCTGCTCCTCCATCCCTCCTTCCACTCCCCACCTCTTTTCTCCAGTCTCAGATGGGCTCCTCTGTCCTTCCTCTAGGCTTCCTGAGCCGGCCCTGGGGAGAAGTGGATACAGTCCTGGAACCAGGCTCAAGTGTGGCTTCAGGCCACAGCAGCTCCAAGCTGGTGCAGCCCTCCACCCCAGGCTTGGAGGGGGCAGAAGTCAGTGCCAGGCAGGGTTGGGCCAGGACAGGTGGGCCGGGCTGATCCGCTTCCTGGACTCTGGCAGTGACCACCTTGTCTCTGGGCTCCACCAATGGGCAGACACGGGGCTGGCAGCAGGAAAGACGGCCCAGGCCCAGCACTGCTTCCTCTCGGAACCAACTCCCTGCTCCCCATGGCCCCAGAACCCCAGGTACCCTAGTGGTCAAGTGTCCGCTGGGGCTGAGGGAGGGAGGGGACCTCAGTGCATCGTGCCATTCACAGGAGGACACGTGGTGGTGTGGGCTTGAGTGACTTTTAATCCACGCCTGGCCCTGGGGACATCTATATAGGACCTGGGTAGCACTGCGGCCCACTTTCCAGGTGCTGCCAGGTGCATAGGGTGGTGGCTTGGGAAGTTTGCATCTTCCCTGGCCCATCCTGCAGGCCGCCATGCAGGCCATGAGGCTCCTGACGGGGAAGCGGGGGCCCCACTGGAGCACATGCGCTCCGGCCCCTCAAAGGCTACCTGGGTCCCAGGCCACCGCCTCTGTGTTACCTCCTCAGAGACCGCCAGAGCCCCAGGGTGACCCAGGAACAGGAAACCCGGGAGGCTGCAGGGATCCTGCCCAGGTGGGGGACTCCAGGGGTCAAGGAGAGGGGTGCCAAGTGAATAGGTCTGGGAGCCTGAAGCTGCTCCTGGACCTTAGTGTCATCCTGGGCTCGCCCCAGCCTGGCCACCTCAACCCTCTGCCTAGAGGGTCCTCCCTGCAGCCAGCCTGGGCAGGCACCAGGCCTTGGGTCATCTTGGAGCTGCCCTTCCTGGACGGGAGGTGCCATTTTATTTGCCCCAAACACATGTCCTGGCAAGGATGGAGTTGTTGGAATTTGTGACAGCCTGGGGCTTGGCCGCCACACCTGAGTCCAGACCCGAGGCACGGGACAGGCAGCTTTGGTTTGACTCTTCCAGGCTTGGCAGGGCTGGGCAGAGACAGGAGGGCCAGGACCCTGGGGCGGGGCCAGGCACCAGGAAGAGTGTCCCTGGTCAGGGCCCAGCACCCACGCTACATTCGTCAATTAGATCAGAAAGAAGGTAAGAGGTGCAGCCTCCGGCCACGCGTAGGGCAGAAGCTACATTCACACGGGGCTGTGCGCAATGCCGAGGCCGCAGGAGATGGGTGTGGAGGAGTCCTCAGGCCTGGCCACTGTGGCAGGACAGCGCCACATTCCCTGCGCAGCCAGAGCAGAGGGGGACCTGGAAGACGCGTGTGCGGCAGCGCCAGATGTGGGGAGGGCAGCGCTTAGGCCCCTCCAGACCTGGAAGGAGAGGGGGGGTCAGGAGGGGCCTGGCAGCAGCACCAGGCCACTCCCAGTTGTGAGTCACAGGCCAGGGAGTAGCAGTGGGGAGGTCAGGCAGGTGGCACAGAACACAGACAGACAGATGGGCTGCAATGGGTGATGGGCAGTGGGTGTCAGACTTTCCTCAGGCAGCAGGTGCAGGGGCGAGGGATGGATGAGATGAGATGAGACGCGACAAGGCCGGCATGGCTGTTGTGGCCAGCATCACACTGCCCCCTGCTGGGTTGGGTCGTACCTTCCTCGGCGAATGTTTCTGCAGGCGCCAGGAGAGGACAGGCAGGAAGAGAGCAAAGGGACAGATCAACCCCTCACGCCACCCCTGGCATCCCAGTCTGCATGCCATGGAGTCAAACAGCTCCTCCCAGGAGCCCAAGAGGGATGGGGCAGCTCTGGACAGGGACCCGCCATTCTGGGGCTGGGAGTCAGGTATGAATACGGGATCCCCAGGTTTCAGTAAGTGAGGCTTATGGGTTTAAGCGGTAGGAAGGTAGCAAGAGGCCCCAGGTTGTCCTGGATGGCATCAGCTGACTTCTCAAAGCCCACAGCCCGGAGTCTGGGTGTCCAGGGTGCCTCTTACTTAAATCCCCAGCCTGTGCCTCCCAGGACGATGGCTGCAACCAGCACTGCTCCGGCAATGGAGCCAATGATGATGTTGGTGCCGCTGGGTCCTGGGGAGGAAATGCCTCTGTAGCAGAGAAGTCCCAGGTCACAAGGACAGTGCCCGGCCAGCCCTGGCTCACCTTTGTACCTCTCCGTCTCCCCAGTGGGTGGGGATGTGGGCAGTGGGTTGTGGACGCTGCAGTCCTTGCCTGTCCAGTCGGGCTGGCAGATGCACTTGCCCTCATTGCTGCAGACCTGGCGGGGGAACAGTGAGTGGGGCCTTGGCGCCTCTCTCAGGATGCTAGTTAGGCAGGTTCTCGCTACATAGCCCAGGCTGGTGTCAAGCTGCCATCTTCCTGCCTCAGCTGCCCAGGTGCTGGGATCAGTGTCTACTCCTGTACTCTCCTGCAGCCTCCCACCACCCTGGCACATGCTTACCCCGTGATGCGAGCAGACTCGGCGCTCCCCACTGCCTGGGCAGGTGCTGAAGTTGAAGGCAGAGGCTGGCAGACAGCGGTGGCCCAGGCACAGCATGCTGGGCCCACAGGCCGTGCCATCCTCCACGTAGCTCAGGTCAGAGCCATCGGCAAGATGCACATGGCCGCCCCTGGGGAGGAACAGCTGCTGTGCCTTGTCCTCACACCCCACTGGCCCCTCCAAGCCCAGCTGGGCCTAGCCGTACCTGCAGTCCAGCTCCTTGCCCTGGTGGTAGAAAGTAACACTGCTGATATCTCCCCCCAACTCGCCCAGCCGAGGAGCCCCAGAGATATTGATGCAGAGGAGGAAGCCGCAGAGCACATCCCTGTGGGGGTGGAAGAGGGGAAGGCAGTGATGGAGGAGGGGGGCGCAGGGGGGGCTCCCGCAGCCCGAGGAGGGGGCGCAGGGGGGCTCCCGCAGCCCGAGGAGGGGGGCGCAGGGG